TAAAACCAGGCAAAATTGTATAATTCGATCTGGGATAATATTCGGGTATAACATCTGCCTAGACAAACGAAGTTGGAAATTAAGTTCAAACTCAGCTGAAACAGTATTATACTGTAGATAGATTATATAGTAATAGTAAACAAACATATATTATATATAGTGCCAAATAATGTGTGTAGAAACTGACTTTCGAGTTATTGAAATGGTTTAAAATGCCCCAATATCATCCATCTACACAGCATTGAAATTTATAATTAATATTTCATATATGGGCTCTCTTTCCAAGCGTTTACTCAGTTACACGTTATGTAGTTCAAGCCACTGCTGGCTTTTTACAAAAGGAACCATAAAATTAGGTTAGTATGAAAACGCATTCCCAAATATACATGCAATGAGTTACTAAAATTGATTCTGCTTGCAAGAACTTTGAACTTTGAGCCGATTCGAAGATCAAATTCTCAGTGGAATATACAACTCTTTTGGATTACGTACAGAAAATATATCGTTCTAGGCAGATGTTATACCCGAATATTATCCCAGATCGAATTATACAATTTTGCCTGGTTTTAAGCGAAATCTGAAAGAAACTTTTTACTTACGATACCCGTAATTTACAAGCGCGCAAGCATGATATCGCAGGAAATCGCATACGGACCAGGGCGCTTGGCGACTCGTCTTTTAATGGTGGATCACTAGCAATCTGCTAAGCAGCTCATTTTCGCTTCGTTAAAACTAAGGAACTGGTCATAAAATAACTGCTATAGGGTGGGCTGGAGTGATCTGGGATGGGCCATGGAAAATCTTTGGGCAGTTTCGATGGGCCGCCAATTTTTTTGTATGTCCACGATTGGGACACCAAACAAAAATCCATGCATGCATGCATGCATGTTTACTTGAAAAAATAAAGATATTAATAATAAAAGTAAACAAAACTATCCAAATTATCAATTGCAAATGATGCTATTGAAGCCAGTACTTTGTTTATCCAACAACAAGAAGTGGTCGAATCACAGAAAATACAACCAACTGGAGAGCAGTTCAGTGTCAATGTGTTGGTCAAGCTTGGTGGAATTATGTATGTCAATACAGTGGCGTGTATATTTTACAACGATTGGTTACATGTTTTGATGCCATCAAAGATACGCTTTGCCAATACAAAGTTGATCTTTGATATTTTAGTACAAATGATAGCTGTGGGTCTGTGACCTTTGGACCGCACGCAAAATAGTCAAATCGATTGTCATATAAATTAGACTAAATTTGTTAGATAAATTAAAGTGGAGAGCATTGCCCATTAACTTAATTTTTTAATAGATATAAATTAGCTTAATCATACGGGAAGGAGTGCAATTAATGATTAACACTACGAGGTATATTTGAAAAATGTGCCAAACGAGTGAAAAATGTCTGAAAAATGTGCCGTAGACATGCAGTCGGACTCCTCATTGATGGTCGGACGCATCATTGACCCACGCCATTAAACAAAACATTCTTCTTATTAGATGCGCCTTCCCAGTGTGTCTTCAGCACGCAAATGGTGATTTCAAAATATTGTATTGTTTGGTTGAGATGTAAAAATCTGAGCAGGACACATGCATTGTGGCTTCATAATCTTGTGTGGTGATGACATCTGACATATATATTATATTAAGTTATATTCGCCATTCCTACTTGCTTTTCTTTGCTTCTGTAACTCTTTGTAAGTTTTATTGTTTTCGATTTTTAAGCGCCTATATGCCTTTCAAACATCATGGATATGATGTATCAAAACATCTACATTTATTCTCAATTGATTAATAATAAATAGATTGATAGATTAAAATCTCATAGTGGTCAAGGTAGCTACGAGGCATACAGTGACTTAGCATTAATAGATTAAATTGTCATAGTGTTAAAGATAGCTCTATGTTTTAGTGGATACCCAGTCATGTAGTTATTTTCAGAACGAGGCATACTGTTAGATTAGCATTAGATCAAATTCTCATGCCATAGGTAGCTCTATATTTTAGTGGATACGCGGATACGTGGATACGCAGTGAAGCAGTTATTTTGAGATTAAGTCGCTGGGAGAAAAAAATTATATTATAAAGCATACTGAGCATAATATTAAACATTTCTAATGAACATTTAATTAACATTTAATTAATATTTTATTAATATATTATTAACATTTTATTATTATTATTATTATTATTATTTTATTTTATTTTATTTTATTAAACTAGTATATAGGCCTACGTATCCAGTGAAATATTCGCTGGGCTACATGATATGATATTACTAGTAGACGGGTATTCTGCAATACTTCTATTTGTGGAAAGTGGTCTTGATGGTCGTTTTGAATCTTCCAGTATTTTGTTGCACGCTAGTTATCTTATCCTGATTTTCTTCCATTAGCATGATATTGAGTATTTTCGGAACCAGAATTAAAAACAAGTTTGTAGATTTGCTATAGCATCTTTCTACACGTGGTCAATGAAGAGATCCATCGATAACGCGCGGAGGCCAGGACGCGGATCAATGATACGTCCGACTATGATTGAGGAGTCCGACTGTCTACGGAAAAAAAATTTGCGCCACCACAGGCTCTTTTTGCCATACTATGATTTTTAAGCTCATTCTTGTGCAAACATTTAGTTAAATTCGTTTACGTTTGTTATTTATACAACATAAATTTGGCCGCCATATTGGATTCTTAGTTGTTTTGATTTTCTGCCCCTCCCAGCCATCACGAAATTCGTTAATTGCACTCCTGGAGGGTGCAATAAAGATGGTAATAGAACGAATAGGCGTGCTATTAATGCCATAATAATATACATAAAGATATAACTCGACTGTGATTGGTTGATTTCTGTGCAGTTAATCCCAAACAGCAGTGCAATTTTTTGTAATCATAGTGCAATTTTCTGTAATCACAGTGCAATTTTTTGTAATCACAGACCAATTTTTTGTAATCACAGTGCAAAAATCTGTAACAATCTGATATGATTGGTGGAAAAACATTGTGATGACTAAGTCAACCAATCAGTTTAAAGCAATTTAGTTTAAAGAAGTTACGGTCACCGATTGCTTCAAAACAAAACAAGCATGGCGCCGCGCTACATAAAGTAAAAGTTGCTTTCGCGTGGTAAATATGGCTTTTATCTTTATTTTTAAATGGAAAAGCATTCGTCGTAAGACAAGACTAACAAAAATTACATAGTAAAGTGGAATTTTCAAGCTGTTAGCGTTGTACAATGTGATATAACAAAGCCAGGAAAACTTTGCCAGTGGAATGTTCGCTATAAACGCGTAAGTTAAAACTACAATTGTCTCGAACATTTTTATGTAAATTATTAATAAGTAATAGCATGGTTTCTCGTAAAATTTGGACAAACATGGACTCGTGAGTTTTTCAAAGACCTCAAATAGCACTCGTCCTTCGGACTCGTTCTATTTTGATGCCTTTGAAAAACTCACTCGTGCATGTTATATCCAAATTTCACTCGAAACCATGCTATTACCCATACTAATCATACGAGTGATTTGGAAATCAACCGAGCTTGAATCCTGAAGGCTCATTGGCTAGTTGTAAATGCTAGACTGATTTTCATTGGCTGTAGACAAGGGTGTGATTACAGCTCAGAAACGGTTCGATTAATGTTCAAATCGCGCTCCTGTAAACCAATGATATTGCAATATTTGCCACTGATTACAGAAGATAAATAATTAAAATAATAATTACACTCCTCTTAATCAATCAGATTGCAGTAATTTTGTCATGTATACAAAAAAGGATATAATTATATTCGCTATCACAGTACGGTAAGTAGAATAATTTCTTTGTTACATTGTTTACACACTGCAAACACTGTTCACTAGTCATTACGCTAATAACGCTAACGCTATGGCACAATACTCTAGTGCATTTAAAATAAAAAATACGTCGCGTAGTACAGGTATGTGCATAAAGAGCATGTACGTTTGGTTAGTTGGTTTAAAAGTAAAAAAATTCGCTATTCCTTTATTCGAAGCAGTTATGTGACGTTAACATAATAATTTTGAGTTTTTTTTTACCTCGACATTTTCCCCTCAAACTCGACATTTTCCCTGTCATTCGACATTTTACCCTCCCCCTCGATATTTTCCCTCGCGCACCATCGACACTTTCCCGTCGCCATCGACATTTTACCCTCATCATCGAGAACTGATCCTCGAAAGTCGACATTCGACCAATAGATAAACTCTCAGCTACATGTTATGGTTTAACTGCAATTTTTTGCGATGCACTACGCATCATTTGTATGCGCAGTGGAAACACCGAATTCGCTTTTGGAAGTCACATTATATAACTATGATAATTTCGGTCAGACAAATTTTTTTCGGTGTGCTTCGGTGTAGAAGGTTGAATTCGAATTTGTCCTACATTTCAAAATATTCTGATGAGGAATGCCCTCAGACTGCACTTCGAACTACATGAAACATTGGCTGCGTTAGCCTGTGTGGGTGTCCACAGCTTAGCAGTTTGAAAATTCCTGGAAGTGGTACTTTTTCGATACTGAAATTATGAAAGGTAATGCACTTTACTAGTAAAGGTACCATGGGGTTACACGTAAATGTAACACGAGGCTCATATGTCAATCTTTACGTTGGGTATCTTATAACGAAGTTATTTTGCAAAAACGAGCGAGGGATCGCAACCACAAATCGGAAACCATGATGATCAAAACGGAAAGATAAATATAATAAATTTAAAAATATTATTTTGAAGCAATGAAGTTGATATTCAACGAAATTCTTGTAGTAAAAAAGTCACCAAATTTGCTTTTCTTGAAAACTTATTTGAGACTTGTAGAATTTGGGGTTCATTTATAATTCATGTCCACTTTACGTGCAATGAAATGCATAAAGAAGATGATCATTTTTTTAAATATTTCCATATTTCTCCGAGCTATCCAAGTTTTAAATTTTCTAATTTTTCAGAAGAATTAAAAGGGAATAAAACGACATATTAAACTTACCTAACTTGGCATTGTACGCAACCCATCCATTACGTCCGCACACCAGTGTTATTGGGTTAAGAGGACCAAGTTGATGAGATTTCAGGTTTTGACCTGGAGTAAGTTTACTGGAAAGATTTGGATTGCAGTTGAGGTTGTTAGTATTTAAGAAGAGGCTGGGTCTTGGAGTAGGCATGATGCCAAGTTCATGGCTGCTGTCTGGGTTGGATGAGACTTGTGATTGAGAAAGAGGGTTTAGGGTTAAGTCATCTGCGTTATTGCTACGAATATGCTTGGGGGTTAGCCTTGCGTTAAAACCAGGTGTGAAAAATGGTGATGCTAAGATATAAGCTTGAGGTTGATGGTTAAGGATTGGGTCCGGATTTTTCCAATGTAGACGTATCGCGGTTTTTCTGAGGAATGCTTTCGCATGTACGCGAAGATCTTTATTTTGCCAAAAATACACCAAGGAATTGATTGTGGAATTGCTAAGCATGAACAAGAAGGCCCATTTTTTATGCATTGCCTCAATGTACTCATCATTTATCTTAAATAATTTAAACGCCATGTGAACGACTGCCACATTACAGATGAGAAAATTTAGTACAACAATGAAACAGGCTTTTGCTAGTTTTAGTTCCTTCTTAAATCGTGCCCTGTTCATTTTTGTTTGATTTTTGAATTCGTGGGAGATGCAGTTACCAGGATAATTCGAATTCTTAAAGCGGGAGCAACAAATGCTTGTATAGACAAACACAGTCATGGCGGCGAGAAGAATTGATGTTCCACCAATAAGGTAACGGCATACGCGAACGAATGGCAAAGTTATAATGGCGAACACAGTTTGTATCCCACAGACAACAACAACATATGTCAAGATTCGTGTTTTGGTTACTTTTGCTCGGTGAAACAGTGGATGCAAAATGCCCATATATCTTTCAAAGTTCAGCATTGATAACGAAGTCATCGAATAGAGGTAAAACAGACATAACAACACAAGCATTACATAGGTTGCGTCACAGCTTGGAGATCCACTAATTTCACTCGATAGATGTGCAATGAACATTGGAAATATGACCACACCATTTGCAAGATCGATGGCTGATTGAACCATAATGGAGAAATAGCTGACCTTTTCGGAGAGGGAACGAATTGTCCAAATTGTTCCTACTGTAACAGTGTTGAGAACAACCGTGAACAAGAACAGACAAATGCAGAAAACTAAAGTAGCGACGTGGATAATTTTCTCTGTGCCTGATGAGAAATCTTTAATCAGCGTTGCTTTGTTAGTTAGAATGTAGCAGGTTAAGAATAATGTTTTGTTTTCGGCTGTGGCGTTCATCTTCGATCTGGCTCGTGTTGGAAGTGTTTGTAACAGATTAGTGAAAAATGCCAAAATAACATGCTTTTATAGACCGTATTCTGCCAAGCCAGGTGCTATAGTTGTGAGCACGTGAAGTAATTTCCCTGCAATGTACACGACCATTAATGACATGATTACTATATTTTTAATTAGAACCCACAGCGATAGAGCCGCCATAAATTTAGGGTGGAGTTTAATATGAATTCCAAAATGAAAATCTAATTTCCACCCGGCATTTTTGAACTAAATATCACTTCCATGTAATTGTCAGATTGAATGAAGCACTCAGATTTCGTCTATATGCTGAATTATGCGTTCCTTATCAAGACAGGGGCACATGCGCGTACAGTATGCGCAGAAAGATTGTGAGAGGGGAACGAAAGTCAACCTGAAAACAATCAGCGAAATATATAGAGCTATTTACGAGTATTTCTTGGATTTTATTCTTTAATAAGAAACGTCAAAAACTCTTCGCTCTATCGCATGCCATTCGATATCTCAAAATTAATAACATGACACAATACATTATACCTAGCGAACAGACCTAGAAAATGACCTGTTTTCTTAAACAGCATCTGCCTGACTAAACGTCCCCCCCACTGCATCGTTCGCCTATGCAGGTGCAAGTTGTTTTTCATGCTTGTAAGCTAAATGAGATCTTGCAATATACATGACCTTTAATGATATTTGTTATTACTTTCCAAGATGGAATTTAACATGGATTTCTGTTCAGACTTTGACTATATTTTAACACGATCTCCTGTTAGTTACTTATAAATAAAACGTCACTCATGTCATGTGCCAAACATAATGTAAAACGATCTGAACTCATTGCTTGAGCTAATTTCGCTTCCGTTCCCCACATGGAGAGTTCAACATAGTAAGCAGTTACTTCTTTTTACGCTAAACTCGACAGGACTTTACACGTCAATTATATAATACAAGAAAAGAACAGAAAAAATAAAACATATTACACATTTAATATACATGCAACAATTCGATGTATAGTTATAGTGATTGATGCACTACTCAATTCGAGGACATAATATAAACACTTACATTTGGTAATAAAGATTTGATTGCATTACTTTTAATTCTATTTATAATGAACCGCAGATCGATGCGACACCTATAAAGCATGTTTTTCACTTTTACATTGTTCGGTTCTTGTTTTTCAGGTTCTTGATTTTAAGAAACTTATTTCTCATGTTCTTGATTTTTAATTTAATAAGAATTGCAGAGTAGTGACATGGACTTTTAGTAGTACAGGGCTTTTAGATATGTATAGTCCGTCTCTGGCAGCAATCTTTAGTGAATACAATCATTAATGCATATTTGTTTTCATATATATCCGCGTAATATTAAAGCCGATATCGCTTTTTCAAGCCATGTGCCGCAATCTTCTGACATATCAAAAGGAACACATCAAACAGTTTTCGAATATGCCAGGGCTAGCGCTAGTTTTAGTAAATATATCAACATTAATATCTGGATAGGAGCAATTCGAACCAAATGGCCTGTGGCCTGTTTCAATGTTTTTCGAAAGCGGGGCATTAAAAGGCGGTGCGGAAAGGCGTGCTTAATTAAGACGTTAATGATGATCGTATAAAAAAGTGTAGATCACTAGAAAGTTCGGGACTTACGGAGTGCGTCCGCATAGAAATGAAAGGGGCGATATAAAATAACGAGTCTTCGGTCTTTGATTTCTGGGTTTACACTGTTAATTTCAAGGAGTTATTTTAACTCCACCATAGGAGTAAAATCTACTTCCAAAATAGAGTTAAAACTACTCCACTTCGGCGCGCATTCTACAATTTACTCCATCAGGAGTCAATTTAACTCCGTTGGAGGAGTAAACTAAACTCGCTTTTAGGAGTAGAAACTATGGAGTAATTTGTACACCTTAATTTTACTCCAGGTGTCGTTTCAACTCCCAAAAAAGAGTAAAATTGTTCTGGATCTGGAGAAAATTATTACAATATATAATTAATGTGCCTGAGAATCCAAGAGTTTTTCTGCTGGAGGCTATACTCTATTCAAGTATTGAATACAGTCAGATGCGAAAAGCACGAAGTTCGAGATATAAAGTCTTTTAATTTTACGTTTTTGGTTACTCGAATGTTGCCAAGTCAGATTGATGCCATTGATGTATTATACCGTATATCGGCTTTCATCGCACGCGGCGATCGAATGTAGCCAGAAATTGTTAGCGTGTCATCTATATTTTTTAATTGCTGTCTAAATCTGTAATTTGAACGTGTGGAATGTTCTGCTGCTGAATTCTGTTGAATATAATTTGCAACAAGTGGAAGGTCCAGATTTTCAACCAATTACCATGCTTAGAATATATCAGGTGGACTTGAATAACTTAGATTCTTGCACTTCACTTGGTGGAATTAATATTAGGATGTTAGGGTTTGTAATCCAAGTGAGAATATATACATTTTAAGACCTATCCAGGAACGACTGGGAAAAATGCAGCACAAGGTCCTCTGGTAGGAATTGAACCCACGGCCCTGCGATTACCTATATATACACCCGATTACCTAAATATACATGAACTTACGGTTACTGCTCAACAGCTGGGCTCTGTAGCTCAGTCGGTTAGAGCGCTGCACCGGAATCGCAGGGCCGTGGGTTCAATTCCTACAAGAGGACCTTATGCTGCATTTTTCGCAGTCGTTCCTGGATAGGTCTTAAAATGTATATATTCTCACTTGGATTACAAACCCTAACATCCTAATATTAGAATATATCACGTGTTGTAGTAATTCGATCTGGTTCACACAAAGACCAAGCGCCAAGTTCAATCCTTTGGGAGCGAACATTCAAAGGGGAATGATATTTATTCAAATTTTCTACTTATAAAGTTCCAAAGACCTAATAAGATACATGGAATTTGTTTTCAAAGGTATGTTTATTGTGTATTTACTTATTTGTGTGCGGAAAGTTACTTGATATACTGTATAGTTATATTTTTAAATCGAAGGCCTGTATTTTAGTCGCTTCGCCGCCAATTTGTCGATCTAGACGTTCAGTTTTAATTTTCGATTAATTTGTATTAGCAGAAGTCCATAAGTCTAATCTACAGTCTCTACTTATATGTGTTGTTAGCCCCGTTTACACGAGCAAATTTTATTTGACAAATTTCATTTCATCAAAAGCATTTGATCAAAAGCTAGCATGCTAGCTTTTGTTCAATATTTGCATTTGTCACAATAAATTTGTCACAAATTTATCATCTACACGAGCAAAATACCTTTGACATATGAAATTTGTCAAATAAAATTTGCTCGTGTAAACGGGGCTTTATTTGTGTGATATACATGTATGTTGTATTTCGTTTTAAATATTTGCTAAGTTGACATGTATACTTTTATATATGTGATCTGTTTGAAATGCAGTCACATTTGACAGCATTGCAATAGCCCATCTAATATTACCCATTGTATGGCATGTGCTTGCTATATATGGTAGCCGTCCTATCGGCTATCAGTCAGCCTAAAACATGTGTAAGGGGCTGCTTATATAGAGGCGAGCCACCCAGGTAATCTGGCTATAGCTCGCTTTCCCTGGATGAATGTCTGTTTACGTGAGTCGAGTTTTAGATGGGCAGGCTTGCCAAAACAAATCACCCAGACTGAGTTATATAGTAGAAGCACATTTCCCGATAAAGTGAACCAACAAGTGATCAATCACTCATACTTTTGCAGACAGTCTCGAAATGTATATAAACTGACAAAAACAATCACAGAGATCTTTTTACACAGGGCCCAGGGGTAATACCGTGCCAAATCGTGGGTGATTGTATATAATTTATATGGAAAATCCTACTTGGCATTAGCAAGATTTTGGGAGAATTGATTTTCCCTTTACCAGAAAAGTTGTATTCATTTGGATAATGTTAGTTCAATTGCATGCTTACATTAAATGAGTGAAAGCCTTTGAATTTTGTATTTCTTGCTTTGTATATGCAAACAACCCAAAATAGCAAATTCATTGTCAATCAATCAATAATTTTTATTTTGTGTGTGTTGGTGTTATGTACTCAAGTGAATATATGATGTTTGTGATGTTACTTTGAGTGTGCATCCACACCGGGCAAGCTGAAAAGTTAGCTTGGCCACAGTGGGAATCCAACCTGTGACCGTGGCCAAGCTAACTTTTCAGCTTGCCCGGTGTGGATGCACACTCACAGTACTTAACATCACAAACATATATTCACCTGAGTACATGACACCAACACACACAAAATAATCATATCATTGGATACCCCTGTACACTGATATCGAAGGAACTTGACTCAGTTCCGAAATATCATCAACTCAAACAGACTTGACCATGTAGCTCAGTTGGCAGAGCATTGGACTAGTATCCCAAAGGTTGCAGGTTTGATTCCCACCGTGGCCAAGCTAACTTTTCAGTTTGCCCGGTGTGGATGCACGCTCAGAGTAACATTCCAAGCATCAATCAATAATTTGCTGCGGTTATATATCAAACTTATATATTTTTTCTTACTAGGGATTGTCACTAATATATGTATTTAACAAAAGCTTCCCAGGTAGCCTGCGTGCAGGCTCAAGGGAACTGATAGTGGGCCTGCAAGCATCACCCCATGTTTTCGATTTTCGCCGGCCGAACCGCCGGCTAAATTCCCATTGGCTAGCTGAGGCGATCGGTAATTAATTAACCTAGCGTGCAGGCCCAAGGGAACAGTGATTCATCACAAAGGCATAGACAAAGGCTCCCGATAAGCTTAAAATTTGAAAATTGATCACTTTTTTCGATTACAAATGGACAAGAACAAACTGTTTATTGTTTACTTGAAGGAAGACATGTTTTTGCCGTTATGCCAATGGGGATTGCTTTTCGTGAGGTGTTGGAATAGCAAATTACGACTGGGGTAAACTATAGTAACCTTTACTTGAGTTTCATTAATTTCAAACAGACTTCAGTTGATACGTTATGTGTTCTCACTTCCTCAAGAAAATTATCTTTTGGTTGATGTTGAGATGCAGTTGCATGTAACGACTGTAAGCCTATTCGAAACACTTTTCGATTAACAAGGCTTCGCTGAGAGAGCGAAACAGAAGGCGGTATTAAATTGCCGTTTGAAACGAAACGATCTGGACTCGGAACGCTCTCTTCTTTTGTAGAGTTCTTTACCAAATGAAATAAATTTCGTACTTTCCGCCGCCAACAAGAATTGCACACACGATCTGATAAGTGAGACAATTTATTTATAACAATGCCAATGGCGACAGCGAAGCACACATAATATAAATCCTAATGTGGTCGCCCGACTTCCCTCATGATTTGAAGTTTGAGACTGGTTTTCTGTTGAAATTCGTCCTAATTTGCCTGTTCCGATTTTAGTTGAAAATGAGCACTTGCAAATTTGGCAATTACTGACTGCGTTGCTTGCTTTTTTGGAGTTAAAACGCAGCCATTTACACATTGTTTATTAGTGTTCTGAATAAGCAGAGAAAACCCCGCAACATTTTAATGCGAGTTTGTTTGTTAATATTTGGGTACTTTTTTGACAATTCACGCGCGAATGGGGCGTGTTATGAAAAGGGGCGTTTTACAAAATACCGGGCGATGGTTGCAGGCCCACTATCAGTTCCCTTGGGCCTGCACGCAGGCTACTTCCCAGGAGAAGGCAAGTTGTCTAAACAAGTGGTATTATATGTAATCATTAATGGCATTCAAAGAACTTTGTGGTCTATTTGGAAAATGTTATTCTTTTGCTGGAGAGCATTTTTATGAATCACCAAACCATGCAAGGGATGGAGTTGCCGACTTGTGGTATACAGCTTGTTTTGTACTACATTTTTACTAATGGACTTGCTTGACATGTTTGATTGAGCAGCACTACATACATTATACATGCAGTATATTTTACTTGTAAATATTCTACATTGAACAGAATATTAACCTTTAAAGTGGCAATGTGCTTTACTTTTTATTTTTTCTGTCTATTGTGGTCAGACAATTTTTGCTCATTAAGGAGAGAGTGCTGCCACTTAATGGGTTAAAGCTTTTCTGTAAATGTAAATTTCGAACGATAACTATGTAATAGCCGGTACTGTGCTGGGAATGGAACCTGCTGCCCTGTGATTCTGATCAGCTTTTTAACCGCCAAGGGTCCTGAAGCCCTAAGAGTCTGTCGCCCTGAGTGCAACCAAGAGTTCATGTATATAATACTAGTGTCATCCTGGGCAGTTTATTTAATACACTACCAATGACAACACCATGGTATATATATACAGCAACTTGTGGTTACCTCTTGGCAAAAGGGCTCTTTAGGTCAGAGGGCTGCGGTAGAATTGCAGGGCTGCAGGTTCAATTCATGCTGACAGGCTTGTAACGCTTTTACTCCTTGAAGAGTAAGAACAACTCTACTTAAGGAGGAAAAATTACTCCAAAACATGGAGTAAAAAAAGGAGTAAAATTTAATCCAAAAAAGGAGTCGTTCTGCACCTTTTTTATTTACTCAACTTTTGGAGTCAATTTGACTCCTCGAAATTAACAGTGTATGATTTTAGGGGTTTTAATTCGTTCTTCGGATTTTCAGGGGTTTTTATTTTATTTTTTTTTAATTTTCAGTTTTTGATTTTTGTTTTTTTTATTATCGAGTTCAGTTTGATATTTGGGTTTTTGACTTTCGGGTTTTAAATTTTTCTGTTTTTAATGTTCGGGTTTTAGAAAATCGGGTTTTTTTTTCTGGGTTTTTCATTTTAGTATTGCTGAATATTGGGTTTTTCATTTATCGATCTTAGTTTTTTGGTTAAGAAATATCTTGGAATGCCATGTCAGCCAACGGATACATCAATCTCGTCAAAACATTATGGTCCACACGCTTTCCTTCTATATAGGGGCCAAGAAATGCACTTTTGTATTTCCAAGCATTTACTTTGCCCCCCCCCCCCCTTTTTAGCTATCCGCATTGTCCTAGTATTTTGTGAATTTTGTGTCGCACACTTTGTTTTACGCACGTATACCGTCAGTCTAGGGATCCACACTGTTCTAGTGCTCCACGCTGTTCTATAGTTGCCCGTTATTTTCTTACTATCGCCCCTTTCATTTCTTGTGCGACACGCATTTCTAAGACCCTGCACTTTCTAGTGACCTGTACATTTATATATATATATATATATATATATATATATATATATATATATATATATATATATATATATATATATATATAGCACGATACAAGTCACATCTTACCATATACATCATATACATTGATAAGTACGATACATCATCATATACATTGATAAGTACGATACAAGTCACATCTTACCTATTTACACCAATGTAAAGACGCGTTAAAAGACTACCATCCTTCCTTTATTCGAGACCACCTATCGACCACCCTAAAGCTTGGGAAATCGCGGAAAAAACTGGCTGGGCTTACTTACGTGTTTTGATAGGAAACTGCCAGAACAACTTACGCAATATAGCAACGGAATCAACCAAGCTAAACGAAGACTTTGAGCAGATTTTAGATGAACGGACAATAGGTATGTTACGGGAAGCAATTTTTCAACGATGTTTGCATGAGAAAAATAAAGTATTAGACAGACATAAAAAAAAGCTATCCAGATATACAGATATAAGAAGTAAAGATAAACAATCGAGAAATCGTTGGGTCGTTAACACTTCCAATCGAGTTTTGAATCACAATGACATTACATTACTTAGACGTAGACAGAATTTTGCAATAACCCCCATGCAAAAGCATACCCATGAAAGATATAATTGCTTCTGTGGAACAAGGCATAAATAACCTAACCATTGATGAAAAGAATGACATTCGGGAACGCATTTCTTCTGTAATTAAAAGTGCCAAATGCCCGACCAACCGAAACCTTTCTCGGCAAGAAGAAAAAGCGTTAAAAGATTTTCGAAATGATAAAGAAATAATGATTATAAAAGCGGATAAAGGTAATGCCGTAGTAATTATGAATCGGACAGATTATCAAAACCATGTAGAGGAAATGTTAAAGCATAAAAACACTTATAAGCGTATCACGGACAAAAGACGCAATCCAACATCGAAAACTGAGACAGATCTGCAACAAATTTTATTAAAATTAAATGACACGGGATATATAACAGAAAACGAGTATACCAAGTTAAAACCTTTCGACTCCTACCCTGCGGCTTTTTACTGTTTACCCAAAATACATAAAGTATCTTTGGTTGAGCAAGATGAACATTTCAAAACAGAAGCGGGCACTGACATTCCTTTTAGACCAATTAATAGCTCAATCGGATCTCCTACATATGAAGTATCTAAGTATTTGGCGCGTATATTAAAGCATCTATATAATGAGAACTATACAGTAAAAAATTCGAAGGAATTTGCAACTTTTGTCACCAACCAGAAAATTAATCCGGACGAACAGCTTGTATCGTTTGACGTAACCTCCTTGTTCACGTCAATTCCCGTTGATTTGGCTCTGCAAATTAATCGTAAAAGAAGAGCTTGCAAACACAAATCGTTGGACACAACACACCAATTTAACCGCAGAACAGATTTACAACTTATTAAAGTTCATATTAGACAATAGCTATTTCATGTTTGACGACTGTCACTACCAGCAGATATTTGGATGTTCTATGGGGTCGCCTATATTCCCCTATAGCGGAACTAGTCATGCAGAGAATCGAGAAAGTTGCATTAGAGTCATCGCCCGTTTCGGTACGGTGATGGAAAAGGTATGTGGACGACTCTAATGCCTGCTTAAAACAACCGGATGTTCCGCTATTCCATCAACATCTAAACTCCATTAACCCTCATATCCAGTTTACGATTGAAATGCCTGTTATGAATGGAGACGGAGGTCAAACAATAGCATTTTTAGATACAGAATTACTCAGCACCGCATCTGGTAACATTGCTGTGAAAGTATTTCGAAAAAGTACACACACGGATAAATATTTGACGTTTGATTCTCACAGCCATGTTAATGATAAAAAAGCTGTTATAAAAACGTTGTTAGATCGAGCAAAGACTATTCCATCTAACTCGACTTTACAGGCTGAAGAGACTGAAAATGTTATGCACGCATTAGAATTAAATGGTTATAAGAAAAGATTCATTGAGGAAGTTATAAATGATCGTACACAAGTAAATCGAAACGTGGAAAATGAAATACGAGGTTCGACGTGTCTCCCATACGTCAAAGGTGTCTCTGAAAAAGTAAAAATGTTCTAACAAAGGCTGGAGTTCGGGTAGCATTTAAACCTGTACGTACGTTGGCAAATATATTTCGCATACCAAAGACGAGACCATCAGAGGAGAGAACAAAGGCTATAGTGTACAAATATGAATGTAAATCCTGCTCTTTTTTCTACATCGGTGAATCCAAGAGATGTTGGTGTTCTAAATGGTTGGAGCACAAGCCAGGAGTTCGCAAAAAGATCTTTTCTGCAATTAAAGAACACGCAGAAAGTACCGGACACGATGCCGCAAAGTCAGACGCGGTGATGCTCGAGAAAGGAGTTACAAATTATACACAAAGGATTTTTCTCGAAGCGCTACATTCAGTGATAAACAAAGACACGGTCAATGAACATGCTGAATTTCCATCCTGCTATTTACCGTTGATTAATTCAATCAAACAGAACAGTAGACATTATAAAAACAATTCAATCTGACTTTAATAGCCACATTGCTCAGAAGAAGGCTAGCAGTTTGCAGCCGAAAATTTAGCAAAATTTTTAAAAAACTTTTTAACATTAGAATGTTTTTAATTAGATCAGTTACAAAATTCAAAGTTACTATATATATGTATATATATATATATATATATGTATATATATATATATATATATATATATATATATATATATATATATATATATATATATATATATATATATATATATATATATATATGTATATATATAGCTTAAGATTTTGGTTTACGAAACACAAACAGTGCTCAATACCATATATAGATAGAGCGTAATATAGTTTTTCGTTTTACCTCAAAAAACCACAACAGTCTGTTTCATCCGTATAGGAAAAACCACAACAGTCTGTTTCATCCGTATATATATATATATATATACATATATATATATATATATATATATATATATATATATATATATATATATATATATATATATATATATATATATATATATATATATATATATGTTCATCACCAATGTTTTAGTTCATCACCAATGTTTAAGCCAGCCACCATACCCGGGTTTCGGAGACCATTGGAAAAGTCAATATTTTGGGTTCGACTTGTCAGTCCTAACCGACTATTAATTATGATGAAATAATTAAAAAATTGCGCTAGGCCCGACATAGCCGAAAACAATTCATTAATGAGTACGGCTTTGAATATATGTCGTAAGTTAGACAATTTAGAAAGTGGATAATTTTGAAACGGCTCTCATTGACCATTTTATAAATCCGTTCATTTCATGAAATGATAAATATAGATTCTTTGGGTATTTATAGTGTAATATACACAAAACATTTTGTAAAAAGATGTTTCATCAATGGACCAAATATCACAAAATGTATAGTCAATTCCAAGTCCTTTACATTGCTGCTGAAAGTATCATTTTTCGGAACCAACATCTATCACGCATGCTTAATTCATACATATTTGTACCTAATATGTATATTGTTGTTCTAAAAAAAGTAAAATAACAGTATGCAACTTAGGTAAATGCATGAATTAAGTATGTGTATAGGCATTGGTGTAAAAATAAAAGATCAAGCGGCTATTTAAAGGACGTGAAATTGAGTAAATGTTTTGATATTTGGATGATTGATAACGAATATAATAAGTTTCTCTCCCATTAACTCAAAATGCGTTTTAAGCTTTTAAATTTCGCGCGCAAGCTATTTTTAATGTTACTAAAAAATACACTCCACTGCTATGGAAAATATAAGATATCTACGAAAATTTTTTGTTTGTTCTATATTATATGTACCCATGCAAACAATCTAGCCTATATTTATAAAAAAAATAATAAAGTGAACGGATTTGCGAAATTGAGAGCCGTTTCAAAACTGTCTGCTTTTTGTTGCATGCCATATATGGCATGCAACTTTCATATAGCTCTAAATTTCGTGTCGTGAGCGGTGAGCGTACCAGTCACGTGGCAGATTCGTAAAAGACGACAAATACCGCGTTTTCCGACGAGCATTTTCGTCCCGGGTTTTTGTCGAGGAAACGCAAAGAAATATTGATTTAATATTCGCTGAAAATTTATATAATTGAGAGCCTTAGAAGGATAGATCGAGGTAGGTAAAGCTTTGCTGTTTTTAACTTACCTTATATTCTGTTATTTGTTGTGATTTTGGAGCTTTTGTGCTCGCACTGATTATTTATCAATTATCAGGCGTTTATGTACCGATCAATTCGAAACTTCATCATCCCCCCCCGGGCATACCCCGGGAATTTGACTTCAAGTCTTCTCAAGGGAGTAGGGAATTTGACGTTCTAGGCAGTGCTTCCACTTACAAGGAATTTTCCTTGCAGCAAGGAAATATTGGTCCTTGCAAGGAATTTACAAGGAAATACTAAAATTTACAAGGAAATGGCAAGGAAAAATCCAGATATTAAAGGAAATTGCAAGGACTTTTGTAACTTATACCAGTTACAAGTCTTAAACCAGTAAAAATCAACTTATAAATAGTATAGGTCTAACAAAAGAGGTAGAGAAGAATCTGAAAATGCCATTTCCGGCGATCTAGGGACTATAAATTTCAAAATTTGCCGTTCAGCGCCTTCTGCCATTCAACCCCTCCACCATTATCAAGCACCTTAATACGCCCCTGGATATGAACATAAACATATATATGGAGCAGGGAACTCTTGAAAGCTTGCCCAAATTTTCAGGCAATGTAATGATGCTCGATTTCTCGAAGGGTCTGTGATACATTTGCCTCAAATTTGCCTGAATTTTCTTGATTTTTCCCACCGTTTTGGTGACAAGGAATTTTGTGTGAAAAAAGGAATTTTGGAGATTGTAAAAGGATTTTTGAACAAACGGTTGTGGAAGCACTGGTTCTAGGTCTTGCAGGTGGTGGGGAATTTGATAACGGGGTGGGAAATTTGAACCGGAAGTCTTAAAATTTTGTCCATTTTCGCGTGCTTCCTGCATCCACAGAAAATACTTCGCACTGGCGGCAAATACAATTTTCTCAGATTTCGAGGGAAACAGCCTAAATTTTGTGAAAAACTGGCTGAAAGAAATGGGCATGGAAAATCTATGTGCTTCATTTGAAGGTATGTACTACATAATTGTGTAAAACTGTTAAATTTCCACAAGGTATCCAAACTTTTTAATATTATCACTAGTAAATGAGTACCGTTATTAATACACTATTTGAGGTAGTGAATACAGAATAGTTGTGTAATACAGTCCAGGATTATATTGTTCTGTTACGGTCACAAGAGTAATAGGGTTGTAATATTTGGGTTAAAATCTGTAATATTGCTAAAATATGTTTTTGTGCACAACATGATTATACAGTCCTCTGGTGGTTATGGTGCACATTGAACTCAGGTGTTATAGTTATCTGTTCACGCTACTCTGCATGCAGACTCCACACCAGGCAAGCTGAAAACCAGCTTGACCGCGGTGGAATTCGAACCCACGATCTTTGGTATGCTAGCCCGGTGTGGAGTCTGCACTCAGAGTAGCATGACCAAATAATTACTGTTGAGCCCCTGTTTAAAATATATATGGATTGTGTGCTTGCTTTAAATTATGCATTGTATTTGGTCATATTCACATTAATGCACTCGGCGACCATTTCTTGTGGGGTGG